TATTTATAGTTGAATGGTTAGATAAAGCAGCCATTGATGGGTATGTGCAACATTTGATTCTTTTTCACGGAACATTTTCTCAAATATTTCCTGAACGGTGAATATGGCTTTCAAAATCAGTACGAGATTTTGTAAGTTAATTTTATTATTTATATTTCTTTGCATGGTTGATAGAAGCAAAGAATTAAAGAAGGAGATCAGTTTATTATATTTTCACTCAGACAAAAATCTTAGAAACTATTTCCTGAAGATAGTGTTGGAATGAGAAAATGTTTCATTTTTTGCAAGTCTTAGTACATTAATAAAAAAATAGTCTATTTTTCTATTAAATATACAAACATTTCATTAAAAAAATTAGTCATAGCAATAGAGTTCAACTAAAAAAAAAATGTCATCTCACCACCAAAAATTGACTGATAAACAAAAACATTCTCTCTTTGAATGTTTTCAAATCTGAAAATTGATACTTTTGTTTGCTGTGATTAAAACATTTTATTTTAACAGTCCTATGGAAGAAATTGTGCAAATTAATACTGAGGCGAAAAATCGATTTCTTTATTTTAGTAAGGAAATTTTCAGAAATAAGGGGTCATCTATGATAGTAGCCTCTAAATACAGCCACTCTTCACTTAACATCTTTCCTGTTTAACAAAACCCGGACTTACGACTAACTATAAAAACAGCCGGGATTGTAGATTGTATGAATATTAACCGTGATTGTTTTCTCTTTTTTTAAAATGAATCGAAATAAATAAAGGTGAATAAAGTGAAAAAATAACTCAAATTTTACTTGTATTCGCATTTTGTAAACGGAAGTGATGTCCAGAATACATGTAATTTTTATTTTTTATTTATTACGTTAACTATTCAGTACACGACTAGTTAATTTAAATCAGTGGTTCTCAGCCGGGGTCCGTGGTAATATTTTAGTGGTCGATAGAGCAATTTCACATGGGAAATGTTGTTACAACCGAGAATTAGAGTTTCTACAGTAATCTACGCCATATTAAAATATTAAAAACAGAAAAACAACCCTAAAACGAGATCAAACGATGTCAGTTAGCGTTCCTTTTACTCTGTTTTTGAATGGAAACCGAGTTGTGTATATAAAGGAAAATAATATGAAGATCATATTTTATTATATAAATTGAATATATTAATAACAATTATAATTTTTAATATTAACAAAATAAAATATAAATTAATTAACAGAGTAAGATTCGACATTGTGAAAAGTGGGGGGTGATCTTCGACTATCGATGGAGCCGAATATAATAAATGCTCGCAGAGCAGCATCAACTTCAGGGATCTCATTTTTAATAAATCTGCACTTTTAATTTATTAATTACTCATATTCTAAAATCGTTTATTATGAGTTACTTTACTAGTGCACATAAATGTTCCATAGAATTTAGTTGCAGGTTTATTTTTATTAGTTTTTCTTCAAAAAGCATATACATACAACTCCTAAACTTAACTATTAGTAAAAAATAAAATCACTTTTTTTTTTCATCAAAAGAGTAAAAGTGGTCCATGGGTAAAAAAGTTGCTGAGAACCACAGATTTAAATATTATTTTTGTGCACACACATGTTTAATTAAACACCACTTTTTTTTTCTATGTTAAACAGTGTGAATTACATCTACTGGCAGACGCATTCGACAGGCTTAAGAAAATATGCTCCCCAATACAAACTGTTACGTCTCTCGAACGCGCAGACGCGATACAAACTGTTACGTCTCTCGAACGCGCAGACGCGATACAAACTGTTACGTCTCTCGAACGCGCAGACGCGATACAAACTGTTACGTCTCTCGAACGCGCAGACGCGATACAAACTGTTACGTCTCTCGAACGCGCAGACGCGATACAAACTGTTACGTCTCTCGAACGCGCAGACGCGATACAAACTGTTACGTCTCTCGAACGCGCAGACGCGATACAAACTGTTACGTCTCTCGAACGCGCAGACGCGATACAAACTGTTACGTCTCTCGAACGCGCAGACGCGATACAAACTGTTACGTCTCTCGAACGCGCAGACGCGATACAAACTGTTACGTCTCTCGAACGCGCAGACGCGATACAAACTGTTACGTCTCTCGAACGCGCAGACGCGATACAAACTGTTACGTCTCTCGAACGCGCAGACGCGATACAAACTGTTACGTCTCTCGAACGCGCAGACGCGATACAAACTGTTACGTCTCTCGAACGCGCAGACGCGATACAAACTGTTACGTCTCTCGAACGCGCAGACGCGATACAAACTGTTACGTCTCTCGAACGCGCAGACGCGATACAAACTGTTACGTCTCTCGAACGCGCAGACGCGATACAAACTGTTACGTCTCTCGAACGCGCAGACGCGATACAAACTGTTACGTCTCTCGAACGCGCAGACGCGATACAAACTGTTACGTCTCTCGAACGCGCAGACGCGATACAAACTGTTACGTCTCTCGAACGCGCAGACGCGATACAAACTGTTACGTCTCTCGAACGCGCAGACGCGATACAAACTGTTTAACATAAACAGGGCGTCTACTCGAACACGTATGCACAAAAATAACGTTTAGAGTAATAAAAATTAATATCAAATTAAGAAAATCCATTAATTCCTTAGAAATCACTATTGTATAAACATTTAAGAATTAAATTAGAAATTTGACAAAATGGCGCAAAAGTGACATTTAAAGCTCTATGGATCTTGTTGCCTCAAACCCATTACGTGTGTAATATGCCTGAAATAGCGGTCAGGCGCAACTTCTTATTTATCGATCATGTCGCCGGGACGGAGCCCAGTCGTTAAGTGAAAAGCGGCTGTATTAGCTTTAGTATTCATCTTTATTCATAGTGTATTTTAAGACATTTTTATGCAGTTTTTTTAAATGTCCTCATAAACGATAAATAAGAAAGTAGAAATCATGAAAGATACATTCAAGTTTCAAGTTTTCAGTCCCACTTGAAAGAAAGGCTGCGCGCATGCGCGCGCACACACACACACACAAGACGTACGTTGTCGCTTATTTATTCAAGATATTTTCAAGATTAATTGCCTTTGATGGTATTTATTAAAAGCAAGTAGTCAACTCCACCCATGACACAATTATTTCTGCGAGAGGTTATTTTCATCTTGGAAGGAAAACGTGTTATTTAAAGGAGGGGCAACACATGACCAACAATAAGAGTAATGCCTTCCTGAGAAAATACAAGAATGAAGAAGTCTGGATCTCACACAGTTTCCCAAGCCATCCCGATCAATTGACATCTGACTTGTCTATCAGCAACAAGAATTTCACTGTTTAATTGAGTTAGGCACGAAAGTCTGTCTTTGTTTAACTGCACATTGATTTACTAGCTAAAGTACTCGTCTACGTTGGGTGAGACACAAAAAACATGGATCGCAGCTGGACAGGGAAATGTTTCCTTAGGCCTGAAAAGTAATCTACGGTGGACAAAACGTAATGTGGAACCAGGAAATATCTATCTTACCATCTTTGTAGTGACTTAAAACGTTGTTATTATTCAAGTTTGTTTGTTTTTTTTAGATCATGGATAGAGACAATCATTACATTAGTAACCAAAATGAGAAACAAAATAGTCTGTATTTATTCTTGATAATTTTCTAATGTTAAAAATAATAAAAAAATATATTTTATGAAAATTAGAAAATATATTTGATAAGAAGAATTATTCAGCGACATTGCCTTTTCAAAGCAAATGTTTTTTTTCTTGTCGAAACAAACATTTAATAGGAGTAGATAAGTTCGCCTATCACCCGGCTCAAAATCCTTCCGGGTCTTTTGAACGGGTGTATAGGTTTATTCCTTGTTTACTGTTTTAGAATTGGGTTTCCGGTTCCTTCTAAAGTCTACTTCAACTTCATGCACCTAACGTCTCCGCCTGAACTCTGAAATTTTATTCACTAATTATTTTTTCTATCTCTCAATGGGAATAGAGATGGCCAGCTATCGTCCGGCTCACACTCCTCCCCGGTCTTTTGAAGACGAACAAAGGTTTGTCCTTGTTCACTGTTTCTTTCTAAAATCTGTTTATACTCTTGTTTTCCCCGATCACAACCTCTAAGTCTAGAGTTAACCATTATCTTTCTTGATAGCCTCAAGAACATCACTTCTTGCTCTTTCTTATACTCATACGACAACAAACAGTAACCTCTACCTTGAGTTTCTCTTGAGCCTTGTATAGGGTGAACATTAGGAAAAAACAAAAACAAAACGAAAATTATAGTTGTATATTTTCTAACAGTCCGTTACAGCGAAAGATAAATTCGAATGACAGAATAGAGACTGGCATCACTGTTACCCAACTAGAAACATTTTCCGTTTTTTTTTTGTTTTTAATTTAAAACCTTTTCCCACACAGTCTAATAAGTAATCATACCAAAGTTGAAAGTTTTATACGAACATAAAAACTTCTCAGTTTACATGCATACACTAGTACTTATAAGAATAAAGGATATAAACGAACTTAATGAAACAAGACACATTACCTACCAACTATCATAACTACAATGGGAAAGAACTTATCTGAGCTTAACATAAAATCTGTTTGAACTACTAAAACAATTAAAGATTTAATAAAATACCAAATAACAGCATGAATTTATAGCCTGTAATGATTGCCTCAAATAATACATAGGAGCGACTTCAAGAACTTTAAATAAGAGATTATATGAACTTAAGAGTGTTGATTATTCGATTCATTTTCTATGGTTCATCAACGCTTTGCGGGTTATTTAAAGCCAGAAAAATATTTTTTTAGGTTGTAATTTTCTTTTTTTTGGGTGGGGGTGAGATAATGATTTAGTTATACAAGTTTTACTAATTAACCCTTATCTGGGAAAAGCGGTGGATTCATACCTTTCCGAAAAGTATTTCAGCGTAAGTGAATATAGCGAACCCAACTGAAATTGGAACTCGGTACTCCGATTAACAATTCCGAGCCATTATCCATTACATCACCCACACATACAAGTGTACAGCACTTGGTATTCCCGAGGGGTCAACCATCTACGTACTGACCAGGCTCGACGTTGCTTAAATTCGGTGATTATACAGGAACTGGTGTTTCAATATGTAACTGTTAGCCTAAGAAAAAAAATGAGTCCGACCATAATTTCGATTTAGGGATGTCACTTTAATTTAAAAAAAAGAATGTAATGTACGAAGGCGAATTTTGTGTAGAAAGTGCATTGATTGATAAATCATTCACAATAAATTTGCGTCCAGGTTCTTACATTTCACCTATCTTGGCAGGTCTTCTGTTGTCACAATATAGGATATTTAAAACGACAACGATAAAAACAAAAATAAAAGTGTAGGGAAAAATGAACGCGATCGGCTAAGTTGTGTATCCAGACACGTCTGACGAAAAAAAATAAAATAAATAAAATAATTAAATTAAAAAAAAAAATAAATAAATAAATTTAGCATTTCTACATCGCTTCCCCTCGGTACTTATAAAGGCGGATATTTTTTTAAATTTATCAAAAAAAATCTTAACTAATGGTGGATTTTTATTATTCAAACAGATTTTATTACTTCAACGTTATTTTTAGCGGATATTCGTATTTGTGGAAAAGCTCAGTTTATTTTTTTTACACAGTATGTATATTTATTTATTTTCGTCTATCGGCCTGGATATTTGTGAAATATTATCAAAGAAAAATATGCTCTCTCCGGAAGGATTCGAATTTAAGTCCAGCTTGGCAGAAGAAATCGTTGTTAGATCAGACATACTTTTGACAGCTCGGCCATCTTTAAGAGTTATCGCATATTCAGACCGGTGGACGAAAATAAATATACAGTTTAATAAATAAACGGAGCGTCTACTCAAATATGGGTATCCACTGCAAATAACGGGTAAGCAACAATCTCCTTTTAATACACATTTTGTTAAACAAGGCTAAGAACGTATTTTTGTTTGCATGCGAACAAAAGTCCGCTTTTCTGGACTTAATGAGTGTAGAAATTATCCAAATGTTTGTTGATGCCAATCTCCAATTTTATTTACACAGCGATAATAAATGATGTAGAAGTGCTATTGCATTATTAAAATCCTCGAATACGGTTCAGAGTTTAGCTGAAAATGATGGGAATCAAACATTTGGGTAATTTCTACATTTATTAAGTACAGAAAGAAAACACTTGGTCAAAACCAGTTAAAGCCATAGTAAATAATTACTTCATATTTATTATAGAAAAAAAAATTAAAATGGACATTTTTAATCCGACATTGTTTTATTACTACAGTGTAACCCGGATATAAGAGAGTTGTCGGGACCGGAGAAGTCTCTTATATCCGGGTTTGGTCTATTTTATATACATTAACATAGGCTCTAATTTGGGACCAGAGAAAATCTCTTTTATATCCGGGTTACACTGTATTACCTTTTTGTTAGGTACACGTGTTTCAGTTGACATCCCTTTTCCCCCCTCCCCCGTTTTCAACAGTGAAATTAATAACAATCAGCCAAGATCGTGAAGTCCTAATATAACTTTCGACAGGAATCGAACCTGTGTCCCCTTTTTCCATAGGAGAAACCAACGAAAGATATGCATTCCTTAAATATAGTTAAATAAGATTTACTTTATAGTTTCCCATGATCAAATGGGTAAGTTTCGGCCATAGGATTGCTATCTTTGATGGAAAAATTCGATAAAAGTTTTGATGCATGTCGTGAGAAATGTTTTTCTTCATGACTTCTCGATCTAGGCCAGATGATATTAATTTCACTGTTTAAACAATTTAAAAAAAAAAAATGATATCAACTTCAACATGCATGCCTACTAAAAATAACGTTTAGTTCTCATGTGAAATTATTAATAGATAAAGTTACTTTGAATATTTTCTCATCCTTGTAAAGTGCTTAAAGCGTGTATATTAATGTTGTATGCAGAAAGCTTTGTCCCAGAAAGAGAACCTTTGAGATTAAACAATTTTATCAAGAACAAGACATTTCAAACAAGTAAACTGGCCATTTAGATGTTCTATCATCTTTTTTTAAACCTCCTGGACTGGTGCTACAGAATCAAAGAATCTTAAATAACAAATCACATTACTTGAGAACTTTCAACACCAGCAACAGCTAAAAAATGGATATAAATGTCAATGACATAACCAAGATGTTGACATTCCACACTACTTCGAATAAAAAGTTAGGTGGGAAAACTCCAATGAAAGCCGAAAGCGCGATAATATTGAACTAGAGGAACTTATTTTCCTGAAAAACGGTTTTAAAAGAAAGACGTAATAAATTGGAACCGACAGTAGCACTGGCTGCGCGGTCAATGAATGGCTAATATTTACGCATAAGGAAACGGTTAATGTTACCATACCATAAAAATATACAGATATTCAGGGACGGAGTGTACTATTCCCGAACCCCACGTCACTTCAAGCCTGATTGAGAGGGCAGTGCTTTGTGACCCTCACTATCTAATCAACATTTGCTTTTTTTTTTTTTTTTTTTTTAAACATTAAACTAAACACAACTGACTAATAAAGGATACTTGCTGATTTTGACGTAAGTCTTTTTTTTTTGTCCAAATCTGAATTTCTTTTGCTCTTGCTATGTCTCGAAAAAAATACTATATAAAATTCACTACTTTTTTTTTATCCTTAATGTTGAATGTGTTAAAATTATTCAACTTTTTAACAAGAAAAATCTCAAGTTCATGTTAAAAATTGACGCAAAACAGTGTTATTTATTTAAGATGGAATGATGACAGGTTCTCTGACTTTATGAATTTAAACGTGCAACTAGGCTGGAATCTCGATCCCACCCTTTCCCTGTCGGAACTATTAAATGTAGCCGTCTCTTCTACTCCGATAGCTTCATGTCTCGCACCTCCCATCTGTAAAATTCCTTCCCCCAATACTTGTTTCCCTGATAGCTATAATCTCCAACTATTCAAATGTAATGTCAATCGACATCTCCAGATGCCTCGATCTATTCCCTATCTTTTTCTTCGTCTTTTTCTCTATAACGTCTCTTTATTCTCGCTCCCACTCTCTGTAACTCCTTGCGTGCTAGTGGCTTCCCGCCTTACTTGGGGTAAAAAAAAAAAAAAAAAAAAAAAAAGGTTACTAATTTGTATTTAGATCTACTTTATTATTTTCAATTTTTCTAGTTGAATTGTTCAACTATATGTAATATAGGTGAATAATTCAACTAGAAAAAATATCCATTATTGTACATACAGTGCTGTTCGATAAAAGTGACTTACCTGAATTTTTTTTTTTTTTTTACTTAAAAATTTTTTCGACTATTGTTTTTGGGGTCAAACTAATTTTTAATCTTACTAATATAAAGACCCCTTCCTGGCCACCTAGTAAAAAAGTTTACTCACCATATGGTATTCTATTGATAAATTATAATTTTGGATATAAATGAGATTTAGGGAAAAACTCTGCAAAAAGAGTGACTCACTTATTTCCTGCAACTAGTAATCAATAGAAACATAACCGAACGGCTTTAAATAAAGAATAATACAGGTATAATTTATTTATAATAGGTAATATAGTTTGAAATATTTAATAATCTATGGGCCCTCCTTTATTTTGAATAACCTTTTCAACCCTTTTTGGTATTGACTTGATAAGGTTCTGGCAAATCTCATCTCCAAGCATTGAATTCCATTCGGATATGAAATTCACAATCAAATCCTCAACTGCTTTCTCGAGAGCCTGTACTTTATAATACTCCATAAGTTTTCTATGGGGTTGAGGTCAGGAGATCGGGGCGGCCATGTCATAACACTCACCTGCTTCTCATCAAAGTATTCCTTCATCAATTTTGATTTGTGACAGGGAGCATTATCCTGCATAAAAATGAGCTTGGTTGGGTCGATTTGCACCCTTTCAGCAAGAGGGAGCAGACAAGACTCTAAAATTCTCTTGTGCTGCTCGCTCCTGAGGGTCTTTTCAATAGGTTTTAAGAAACCAGTTCCATGAAAAGAAAAGCATCCCCAGAACATTATACTGAACGAATGCTTGACAGTACTTACTGCTAACTTTAAAGAGCTTTCAAAGCTTCTTCGGATTTTAGATCGCTTATCCTTTGAATTTAGCTCAACTTTCGTTTCATCGGAGAAGAGAACATTTAGTAAAAAAAATCAGGTGAGTCACTGTTATCGAACAGCACTGTAATTAGGTTACAATACAATTTGTATTTTATATGAATACTATCTTATGTAAATAGAGATGTAGCAGAGTGGGTGGGGGCGTACCATAGATTCGTTGGATGCGTTTGAGACCCTTATACCGGATCTGCAGATATAACCATACTAAATTACCATTTTGTCAAAAGAGAATAACTATAAAAAGAAGACATTTGAAAACAGAATGTTATTAAAATGATTCATTATTAGAAAAATTTATAAATTACTGCCTATTTGTAGAAACATTTGTTGAGACCCGTTGAACTCATTTTTCTTTTATGGTTCAGGCTGTAGCATTTACCGTTATATATTCATCTTGATTTAATAGGAAAAAAAATTGCACTTATGTACAAAACGTTTGTTCATAACAGACAGTGAAATTCTTAGTGTCTTAATATCCTTATATCAAGAAACCAAATAAAAAGTCGCCTCTCACCGAACACACACACGTTAAAAAAAGCAAAAGCACACACCACACCGGAGGAAAAAAAAAATGGAAAGATGAGAAGCTGCTAATCAGGGTGTGGTTCCATCAAGATAACAAAAAACGCAAGCAGCAGGAGCAGATGAAACTTTTGTTTCAGGCTAGGCAGAGGTGAACTGCTCCCCTTCTCATAGAAGGTCCTGAATGACCAACATTCCAGCTGTCAGCACCACCCCACTCCACTCTACCCAGATTATTAGAATTAAAAGTCAACATATCCCTTTAGCGCCCCTGTACCAAAACGTTTAGACTCATCTCTACAAACTTCTGGCTTAGATTGTCCATAGATATGGAAGTTTGAGGAAAGAGTCTTGATAGAGATTTTGTTGTTTAGCCCGGATGCATAGGAAAACTAAATATAGCAGCTGTGAGGTGCCATGCAGAGTCGAGAAATTCAGCTGTTGTACCCAGGCATTTAGAGGATCCC